ATTGGCACCGCGTCAAACTCATCCCGCCTAACCCGCCCAACCGTCCGCAGCGAGCTGCACTATAACTTTCTCCACAGAATGACAATAAGCGGAAATATTCATTTTAACAAATCGCAAGCTTTCATAACATTGGATAGATCCAATCATCGGATCTCCTTTGCCCCACTAGTCACTCTGACTCTGAACATCCTCTTCTTCTTTAGCCGCTTGAACTTTCTGAATTATACAACTTTCTGGCAGAAGAAACACAGCACCAAATCGTCCTGAGCTAAAGCGTGGCTGTCCATTTTCGTCCTGAAAGGTTTGATAACTTTTTGATAGCATTTGAATTTTTCTTTGGTTATTTTTCTCGAGGGCCTTCAGGAGCGCTTTCCCAATACTTCCTCCTACCTCTCCTGTAAGTTCAAAATTGTCAAGAAAGTTGAGAAATCGGCTTTTGCTCTGTAGTCGAGAGTCCGGGGGGGGGTCGGTGTATGTAGGGTGAGGCACATAGAAGTCTCCTCATGCAGAACTGGGATAAACACTGTGCCGACACCCGTGCTTGAACAGAAAATGCACTGCGCCAATCCGGGAGTTCCCTCCTCCAATGATATACCTACAGTTGATAACACCGCTGCAGTCGGGACGGTGGCGGGGGGAGGGGTGGAATGAACCCGCTTCCGGTTGCCTTGCTCTACCAATGGTGATCGGTTAGTGATAGCACTGGTAGAGCAAAGCTATGAACTATAGGAAGAAAGAAACCAATGGTGAAAGCGCTGCGAGTGGACTCATTCCATCCCTCTTGGAAACGCTCCGACTGATTGCGACCTTATCAGCTGTACTTCCATTACGGCAATCCCAGTTCTGCACGAGTAGCCCTTTGAATGTGTCCTCTCAGCCAAATTGCACCAAACGTTCCTGTCAATGATGAAGATATTCAAGTTCAGTACCTTCAGTTGTTCGAGAGTGATTTTCGCGTTGATTTCATCGGATTTGAATCGACTTTGCTTTCGGCGCTCCCGCATCTCCATCACTTCAGGCGTTACCACTAAGGGCACAATGGGGACTGCTGCTATCAAACTTGGAATAACCTCACTTGCTGTTATCGCACTTTTATGTTAAAGACCGTACCTCTACGTCTTGGGGTCAGAGTTCCTTCTCCACTTTGTTCTGCGCCTGGTTCAACATTCGCTTCCGGTTCTGGTTCTGGTTTGGCGCTGTCGGCAACATCACCTCCACCAGTGTCATCGTCTGTTATCCGGTATCAGCAATTATTCCAGTTTAAGGGGTGTGGGTGAAGAAGAAGCGGCAGTGAGCAACGTTCAATTTCAATATGAACCACAAATTTCATTTACATTCAGATTGCACAAGCACCTGAGTGTGTACAGTCGTTTTCACAGCAGACGTTTTGGCGTCAGAGTACGGGATCGTTCCGCGAAACCCATCAAGGGGGGAGGGGGACGCACATGGTCGTTATGAAGGGAGAGGGCGTAAACGCAAGGTGCGTGAGCACCACACACCGGCAAAGTGTCATGGCTGAAATTTTGTTGAACTGAACTAGTGCTGTAGAAGACCGGGATGTGCCGAGGAAATATTAAAGTAATGAACTAAATATAAATAGTTTGCATAAACGGTAAGTATGTGAATGACTAAATAATACATCTGAAACAGATTCATGCTATCGACCTTTCCAAACCCTAAGCAAACATCTGCTAGCATAGGCAAAAATTACTCACCATTAGAAGCTGACCTTTTCATCATCTCTGCGTGGGGGCGTAATGCACGGCGCACACTCAGACCAAATTGATCGATTACAACCAAGCTATGCTAGCTAGCGATTTGATGGGATTCGTGTTTTGAAGGCATGTCGAGATTCCCGAATGAGTATTCTTGCAGTTTCAGAGAACCCCATGAAAATTCTCTCAAGCTAGCGGTCTTCGCCAAAACTGTAACACCTTTTGGAAGAAGGAAACACTGCGCTTTCTGAGAAGGCTTCCGGTTTTGCAAAGAAGTTATTTCGAGGCATAAAACACGCGTACGGTTTGCCGTTAACCGATCTGAAAGCCATCGGAAAAATTTCTCGAACAGCGAGAGATTCGGGTAACGTGTAGTGAGAAACCGCAACAGAAAAGTACATTGCTTCAACATGCCGCCTTCCTTTTCTCGAAAGCCCCGCTCAAAGTTGCATCCCTCAGGTCAGAAGAAGCTTGCGATCCCCACCACGTCAACAAGTGTGCTTCAAGCGCCATTTGCGCTGGAATCTCAACGCGGCCGTAATAGTATCTACATAATCAAGCGAACAATTGGGGCCGAAAGTGAGGAATCGTAACGCAGCTCTTCTTCGAAGAAAGCCGTACTGACGCAGCCACAATCACAATGTTGTACCCTGTTTTACGCGGCTTGGGGGGCTTGGTATCGCGTGGCACCAGCTTGTTGAAGCGGGCAAGCGACACAGTTGGTGGAATATGGGCTGGTGCCGTGCCCAACTCAGCCACGTTGACCCGCCCAGCGTCTGCAGCGAGAACGACTACACTTGGCTTTCAGAGTGAGATGTGGGATCGTTGAATGGCATTTTGCTCTGATCGGGTGGGTGGAGAAGCGTCCGCAATCTTGTTTTCGTCGCTGCTGGGGCGTCCCTTCTTTTCGATATTTTGATAAGCAATGCATCAAGATGGGATGCACATGATAAGCCCGATTCTGTGCAACGATCAGCGTGGAATATGCTTTTGACATTGCTCCTCCTTCCACCTTATCCTCTTCCAGTTTCCTAAATCTGTTCCCCGTTACCCGTCTGACCGTGGAATCATCGATAATTGCGTATATTTGAAGCGAGTTGAGAGAATGTTTTTTCTTAACCTTGCACTTGACTTCTCACAAATTCACTCAGTATCCCTGAGAGCGCATGGCCGCGCACTTCATTTTAACGTGGTGGCAACTGCGCTCCTTGTGGGTGTTCGTTTTGAGACAACTACAATCATGCCTTAGTCCAGTACAAGGCAGGATGACAGTCGTCTCAAATAGATGTGTCCCACAAGCAACTTATTCTGAGCCGCGGCCAACTGAAGTACGCAGCTACGCCCACTCTATCTCTGGGATGTGAGTGTTATGTCCATCCTATTCATCCATGCAAGGGTTATCTGCCAATGCTCTTAAATGAGAGCCAAATTTGGGTTACGGAAAAGGGTCTTCAGGGAGGACACGAAACATTTCCTTAATTGGGAGAACTCACCAGCCCCACCGCCGTCGTCATCTCTATCGCCACCTGTGCCTGCCTTCTTGCCTTTTTTCTTTTTCTGCCTCGATTTACCCTCCTTCTCGCTGTTCTTCTTCTTCGTCTTCTTCTTTGACTGCTTTTCTTTGCCCGTCTTGTCGGACTTCTTCGCTTTCTTCTTGGAAGGTTTCGAGCTTTTTCGTTTCTTTGGCTGTTTCGAACGAGGTCGCTGGATATACACAAGATTTCTGAAGCATTTATTAGCGTCGTTTGACGCTTGCGTTATTAGCATAGTTTGACTTATACAGCGAACAGTAAATTATGGCAGCATTTTTCACGTCAGAAAAGTAAGCGCAATAACACAAAGAAACTCTTAGTTTAGCACCTGGACGAGGAACCATGCAATGAAATGACAAGAGAGAGGGAACAAATAAACCACAGACATCAAGCTAGCCAATGTCATCGACCAGGTTTGAATAAGAAATGCGATTACCTTTTTACTAGGCTTCCTTCCATAAGGCGCCCGAGGTCTTGGCCTTGCTCCAAATCCACCTCTTTTGCCTAAAATTGTTCGCAGAATGTGCGTGGAATTTTCTAAATTAACTCTACGTTTTCAATGGTAGCTGAAGCTCATTCTCTTGTATTGACGAGGCTTGAAGAGAAGCTCCACATTATCTTGAGATGCGGGTTCGAGTCCCGTCCCAGGTTCGACTTTTGCCAATATCTTAGTTAGCATTCTTGTGGTAGCTTTCGGAGCACGCAGTGCGGCGTTAAACAGCAGTTATCGAAACTAAAAACAGCTCTAGAAACCCCTCATTCACCTCCGTGGATCTTGATCCTCAACATGCGAAGTGAACTGATCCGCAGCTGCAGTAGCGTGCGCTCAGAAGTACGCTGGAATCAGGATGGAGACAGTGGTACCAGGAGGCATTTCGGGACTCCACCAGCGTTCTGCAGGGCCAGCCGCATGCTTTACCGCGGCTAAACGGGCCACCTGCCTGTGTCCTCTCACTTCTGATTGTTCTCTACCTCTAAATACATGTTCACAGCACTTTCATATTTTGGTGTCGGCACAAATGTTGCACCGTGCAGAGTCAGGAGAGGATACTCGGGTATCACGACCCTCCAGCACTGTTCCGTGCACTTTTGAACGGAGAGAGTTTCACGGTCCCGCAGCTGCGGATCCATTCATCTCGTGCAAGTGGCAAGGACCGTCCTTAGAGATGAGTGCGCAGTTTGTGTTCAAATATACACCGGCTGTGCAGCACTGTTGGTTTCCGGAGTCCTCCAAAGATACAAGTACATGTGATATTGAAAGCGCGTTAGCACCTGACAAGAACAACTTTCGTTCTTGCGTGTCGAGCTGCATCTGTTCGCTGTTTTACTTCATCTTGTACATACTCGTACTCGTCATGAGTCAGACACAAGGATTACAGGCTGTAGGCTCACTTACCCGTTATAAGTGGCAAAAACAGAGCCCATATTGTGCAAAGGAGCAACTGCTGCATCTATTCAGCTAACCGCAGGTTATTGTTTTGTGAAATGAAAGTATGTCGAACAAGTGTTTTCAGCCGGTATCAGTTACGTAGATAAGCATGCCCAAACTACAAACAATTGGAAGACACAGAATCGTAATCACGGTACGTCGTACGTTGGGATCTTCTCTCTGCTCGACGGTAGCTTTATGGAGAAAACACTAAAAAGGAAATCTTTGGTATAACTTGAAAAAGAAGTAGGAAGTTGGGAAAAACTTGGGAAGACGGTGTGGAGTGTAAGTGGATCCAGTTTAATGACGCATAAGGCATTTTTTGGAGGCACAGCCCAAAAAAAATAACGGACGGAAGTTAGGTTTTGGCTGTTTTCATAAGACCTGATGTTCCACCGAGTACTTCACATCACTGAGGTCTTCAGTGTGCAGCGCGCAACACGTGCCTTAGCCAAACTGGTAAGAGCGAAAATCCCGTAGGCAATTGGCACTTATGCGTAATCAAAGTGCTTTGGATTTCATGTATACTCCTTATCCCTGAGACGGAATAGGCGTGGCATTTGAACATGGCATAGATTGTTACTCGTGGATATTTCAGTTCGAGACAACTGTCATCTTGTTCTATTTGGACAGAGGCACGACCACAAATGTGTCAAAATGAAAATATCTCACCAAAAGCACAGCCAACGCCACGTTTAGTTGAAGTACGCAGCCACGCCTACCCCATTTCAGAGATTAGCAGTTGTCGAGAATATGAACATTTCCATTGTTTTACATTGACATTTGGAGGCAAGGCACATCATCTCTGGATTCAGCCATAAGGGTGGTGAGATTCAGTCCTCGTGGGGAAGGGTCCTATTCAGGTTAAACAGAGAGGTATGTGCGATGAAATAAGCTGTTTGGATCCTAGACGTAGAAATTAGATAAAAAGATGAAGCTTCCTTCATGCTCACAATTGATGTTTAATATTCACGTCTGAGTAGCAGACTACATAAAGGCATTTATGAAAAACAATGTCTTCTTTTTATTAAATACAGTGTACAAGTATAAAATAGAGCTCAACAAAAATCTATGCAAATGACGTCATGAATACGAGCAGGCTTCATAGATCTTCTTTCTAGGCAATTTGAGAAGGATTTTGATTCGATTTCGGCACCACTTCTTTCCAAACAAACCAACAATTCATCGCGAATGTGAAAACGCACACCCAGTCACTTAGCTGAAATGAAATTAATCAGTTGTATGTTTTTCATTCTGGAGGGAAATTTTCACTTTTCTCGCTAACATTCGGAAACACGCTGTGCATGCATCGCAGGTTTCGGTTTGTGCTGGTGTTGGATTATGGTAGACATGGAATAAGAGTAGAAAGATTGGACAACGTTCAAAACTCCTTACAAGTGACTGTCATAAGCAATCTGCTCTCGCTAAAGCCAAGTCAGTAAGCACAACCTTCTTTACCTTAGCCTCATGCGCAACCCCATGACACCCAGCTTCACCTATTTTTAACTATGTCTTCACGTTAGTTTCATTGTCCTAGAAGTATCTTCCTTGACTAGAAGAGGAGGGAGATGGATGGAAAGGCAATGTAAATCCTTTAGAATGTACTCCAAATTTTTTCCTCACTCTTCTATGTAATTATCATCGGTTAATTAATCTGTTGGAAAGAAAGCTCTGTCAAAATTTTTCTAATAAGCCCATAGTTTTTCATCATCGATGCTTGATCATGACGTAGCATGCCATGCTTGTAGAACATTATAGGAGTTTTTCTTCAAGAGGTCCGTGAGGGCGCCTGCTCTTCGCTGGGTGTGATTAGACATCGTTTTCAAGCAGGGCAGCATCATCGGGTCATAATCTTCTATCGGTGGCTCCACTGCTGCACTAGAGCCATAGCAGCTGTCCGCAACATCAACAGTGCACTGCCGCTACCATTTGTGTCGCTCAGCTCCAAAAACCGGTGGAAATCGCTGGAGAAAAATGACCGAGACTAGCTTCGGGGCACCTCGTTCGTAGTACGGGGGGACCCCATACCTGCTATGTATACCTACCAAATAATTGAGGAGACCACTACCATAAGGACCGTTCACTTTTGGTTCACTCGCTTCGCGAAAAGAGACTCGATCCTCGAAGACAAACCTTGGTTGGGACGGCCCACAGAAGTGGAAGACTCCACCATTCTCGAAGCAGACAAGGAGGATCCAGAGGCTACCACCCGCAGTCTTGCGACAAGACTCGGTGTACCTAACTGACAGTCGTCCACCGCCTGTAAGCCCTTGACTACCAAAAAGTACTGGCTCGATGGATCACTCATACCTTGACCGATGGCACGCTGTGCACCGGGTACCCCTTGGTCAGTCTCCCTTCTCCGCCCTCGTCAGAAGGAGTTTCTAGGAGATGGAGAGATCCTCTGTGATTTCAACCCACACAGTACCGTGTGTCTCTCTCAAGGAGAAGATCCATTCTAGCAGTCCAAACCGGGCATGTATTCCGAGAAGGTTCTCCTGTGCTGCTCCTGGGACGCGAGGGGGATGCTGCAGAACGAGCTGCCCTGTAAGAACACACGGTCACCGCTACCATTTGTGTCAGCTCCGAAAACCGGTGGAAATCGTTGGAGAAAAATGACCGAGACTAGCTTCGAACGGGAGATCCCATACCTGCTATGAGACCTACCAAATAATTGAGGAGCAAGGCTGGGAGACCAGTCCCCGCTCATCATATTCTCCTGACGTAGTCCCCTACGACTGCTACCTGCTCCGCCTCCTTAAGGCTTTCTTAGCTAAGAAAACTTTCAGCAACTTTGATGACATCAGTCGAGAGGCCGCTGACTTACTCTACTCGCAGCCTCCTCAGTTCTGGGAGGAGGGGAATGCTTACCTGTCCATTAGGTGGAGCACTGTAGTGGCTAACTATGACGAGTATATTGTTGACTAATTCCCACTGTATGTTGAGTTAGAAAATAAAAAAAAAAGTCACAACAGTGACAAGACTTTCCTTTCAACCTATTATAATACCTTTCACACAATTACATATGGCATCCTTTCTAGTCAGACTAGATAGATCCCCTCGGAATCTTCGAAGCACGGCATGTCTTGGCTCATGGAGATGACGAGCTTTTAAAGACAGCTCCCGCGATAAAAGTGTCATGGATAGTTGCTTTTCAATTATGAAACAGTAGCTGATAAGTAATTCCCCAAAGAAGAAAAAAAGAAGAGTCCTCAAGATAAACAAAATCGCTCCCTGGCAGTCACACCTTCCTGCGGTCTCTGTGCAACCCCTGGCTCACAAATTCCTTTATCACATCTCCCAGTAGTGGGTATCATCCAATGCAATGAAAAGAATACGAAAAACAACAAAAACACGGAAGAAAAACTCTTGAAAAGGAAAAGAAACTTTCCAAAACTAGGAGTCTGAATTTAGGTTATGGCGTAGCGTGCACCTTTTAATGTAATGTGATGCAGCTTTTGCACCACGAAACTTGTGTCGCTCATGATTTTCACGCGTTTGACCTCGCAAGATGGGTTGCACTTGGCTGTATGTGCTCTCAAATAGAGATTGAAAGCGTATGGAGAGGAGAGCAG